ATATAGTTGGTTCTTAGCCTACCGCAATTATCAAAATAAACTGTCATGTTAGGACGAAACTGTCACTAGTGAAACCATACAAAGGTTCGACCATGGGTAGCCAAGGGTGATCCACCTACATCTGGTCATAAGTAGTTTCAAATAGAACTGTAGGGTTTTTTTTACAATACCTAGATTTGATATGTTATACCTATTGTGACGAATTTTGCAAAACTTTACCTTCTGATTTTCAATAAGAGGTATGCTTCGCCTCAATCTGTAAGGGGGCTGGAGAGATCACGTGCACTTTGCTCTTGGGCTCTCAAAATTTAGATATTGTTGTTTCGATAGTTTGGGTGCATATATCGATGCATTTCCCTTGAGAGTTTAGCATTTCTCTATCTTCTTTGGATTTTCAATGATATCCTTCATCAGGATCTCATTTTGTGCTAGACTTACCAACTGATGATTGGGGGTTGGATTTTTGTCGCAGACATCTTAACGAAGGGAGTTTCCATTAACAAACCATTCCGTAAGGCGTCCCTATCCTTTCCATCTAATCTCGTCTCACAAACAATCAATTCAGCGCTAAATCATGCGAAGTTGCACTTAAGGGACTCTCGTCTCCCTTACTCATATCTTTCAACCTCGTGGCAAATGCCTACCCATCCTGCTTCCAATGAACACCCCAATAAATCCTGCTTCGATTGTGGCCAGCTCTTGATTGAGCCTAATGACAGCTTAATATACCATTTCTTAGCAGGTCTATCCAATGTCAAATAGAAGCCTTGACATTTGAGTACAGGGCTCACATTCTTCACCATCATTTGCATCATGTAATTGCAAATGATACATCGGATCACCCTTTCCATTACACCTTTCCATTACATAATGGATAAAATTATCCGAAATTGGCTCTTCCTTAAATTTTCTTTTTTTTTTTTTTGGGAAAGGCAGATACTCATCATCGTCATCCAACTCATATGATATTGTGGTCGATTATCATGTTCCTCATATAGAAGAGTGTTATATAAAGTGTTGATTAGGCTTTCCGCTTTGACCCTAACAACAATAATGCTAGTTATACTTCCTATCTTGAGAGTTTACTTCATTTGCAAGCCTCTCTAAGGAAAGTTTGTTCATCCACTGCTCCTTCCCTTTCTTTTCGGCATACAATACGTAGTTTTTTTTATACCAGCAGGTTGCTGCTATTTTTACGGAAGAAGCTGGTAATAGGTTCTACTTCATTTTCACCGGATTAACCTTGCAGATTCCCTCTTGAACTTCCAAACTTTGCATGCAGAGATGCATTATCTGCTGTTAGTGCATTAAGATTTTTCTCTATTCCATGGATGTTGAGCAGAGAAATGCCGCCATGTAACCTTGTCGAGGTCTTCCCACTATTACTTCGATTCGCATAAGTGTTCATCATATCGTCGTCGTGCTCTTCTACTCTAACTTCTAGCATTTTCGCTTCCTTTGAATTTACCTCTATTTAGCTCATTTTTTTCTTTTCTCAAGTTTCCCACAGAAGGATCTAATTTGTTGACTATACAATTACAACCAATAAATTCTTCACAACTAGCCAGATTTTTCTCATCATAAACTCTTTGTTTTTGATACTCAAATAGGAGCAAGAGAGAAAATTGCTATCTGGGAGGGAAATATTTGAATTTGTAAGCATTTCTTCTAATAGGTGGGAGTCTCTATAGATTTTCTTCAAGGTTTTAGAGCAATTATGTCATTCTAGAAAATAATAGGTGGTCACATTTATTGAAGGACTTGTAACTAATTTTGTTACATATTCATACGTCATTTATATCATCTTATGTGTTTTGTATTCATTGGTTTAGAAGTTATGCTTTAAATACTTACCTATGTATGTAATAATGATTTTGTGAGTCTGGAAGGGAGACAGTTAACCCCTTCCTTCTACGAGCCTTCTATGTCTAATTACACTCGTGTATTTTTATACTTCGCCTCAAGGGATGCTAACTCCTAGAATTTTTTCTTGATTTAATAGTTGTAACAATAACACTCCAACGGATCCATCTATACACACAAGTATCACATACAACATATAAAAACATATGTTGGAGTTCTAGAAGAATGAGAGATATGAGTACCTAGAGGTGGTGGGAATGGTAGGTTTATGGAGGTGGCGAGTGAGAAAGTTCTATGGATCAATGGTTAGGCAGGAGGGAAATAATGTGGAAATCTTTAAAAAGTGTAATAGCACAAAACGTCATCATCATTTGCATTCATTGCGCAAATCGTTTCTATCATTTCAAATTTAAAATTTGGCCCTCATTTCAATCTTTTCTTGTGGAGTTGGTCTTTTCCTTCTCCTTCTCCTTCCGTTATTCATTCCGTCAAATATGGCTAATTAGTGCAATACGTCTTTATCGTCCACTTTCATAGTGCAAAACACCATATCATTTGTCTTCATTGCGCAAAAGGCTCTTACCCTCTATTTTCTCCATTTAAGTATTATAAAATCACTAATTTAGCCTCATATTTAAATAAACAAATAGAAAAAGAAAGAAATGACATAAAAAAAATAATAATTGTAGCTAAAATTTTAAATTTTTTAAAAAATACAAACGAATCTCATGTAAAACAATTTAAAATATAATATCAAAAGAAAAATATTTCATCTTCCAATTAATCCCACCTACTACTACCCCTTCACCCATCCTCTATCCTCTACCACCGCCAAAATGGTTGAAAATTAAAAATAAATAAATAAATAAAACAAAACAAAATGATTCTTCTTTCCTATCTAATTCCTCGCCCTACCACCACCGCCACCACCTCCCCATTCTCCCCATCCCATGTGCCACCATCCAGGGATTTAGTTATTTTCCGGTAATTAATTTTCGTGTTCTATTGTGGCACTATCCAACAATTGAGCTATATACATACATACACTCTGCATTAACTATTAAACTTTGTTGTGATTTTGTTCAAGTTTATTTTGCCTTCCAAAATGTGTGACTTTTTTTTTTTTTTTTTTTTTTTTTTTCTTTAATATATTTTAAATTGTTTTAAGTGGAACTTGTTTTCACTATTTGAGAATTTTAGGACTTTACTGTAATTATTTATTTTTAATTATTTCTTTATTTTCTGTTTGTTTATTTAAAGATGGGGTAAATTAATTATTGTTCAATACTTTTAATGGAGAAAATAGACGATAAGGATCTTTTGCGCAATAAAAGCAAATAATAGGAACGTTTCCTCAATGAAAGCAAATGATAGAGATATTTTGTGCCAATTACCCATATTTGATAGAACGAATTGACGGAAATGATCAACTCCAAAAAAATAAAATAAAATTGCAACATCAAATTTGAAACAATATGAATGATTTGCACAATGATTGCAAACAATGGCGACCATCTTTCATCGTTAACTAGTAGGTCTCATCTGACTATCCTTATCCTCGAGATCGATGAATAATTGCTACTCTTGTGCAAAGAAGTCTGGAATGCTAAGTGTAAATTTTTACATGCATTCCTATCAATAAAAGATGAGATTTTGTATTAATTACCCTTTTAAAAATGTATTGTTAAGTTCTTGGAAACTTTTTGACATCTAACTTATACTAAATAAGGTTTTAAGGCTCTTTTTAAGTTAAAATGTTCATATCATCATTTTCTACATTGTTGATATGTCTCAAATGCCTTCAATGTAAAATGATCATATTACCCTTTTTTCAAACTTTCAAGAAAAAATGATAAACAAAAAATGACTGCAAATGTTTTTCATTTGGCGAAGGCTTGTGGTTGGGATTTGCAAAGTCGCAACCAGTCCCTGAAAAATAGAAATCCATATTGGTCATGGTTAGGAGCCTTTTTTTTAAGGAAAAAACGATTCGGTTGTTTTAAATGATCATAGTCATTTAACTAATAAATGAGGATTGCCATTTAAAACGATCAGAGTCGTTTTTCATTCTCACTTTCGGGTTTAAATGGTATCTGTGGAAACCGGATCCTACCAAATAAGGATGGGAGCCAAAATTGATTTGACAATATTTTACATTTCATAATTATTGTAGTATAGAATATATAATTATTTCCCACTGTATTTAGGAGATTAGAATTTTCCTTATTTACAAATTTCAGTCTATTATAAATTGTATTGCTTCATTGTATCAATTATCAGAAATTAATGAAATTAGTTTTCCCACATGATATCAGAGCAGGTTTGTTTCTAACCTAGCCAATACATGACTGAATCAGCCACGATAGATAGGGACTCCATAATCTCTGATTCAGAGGTAGAAGCCATCTCTACCATGAATACAAAGGGGATCGAAAATTCAGCTTTCCAACTCTCGATAGAGAAATTGAATGGCAGAAACTGCAGAGAATGGACGCAGTCGATAAAACTAATAATCGACGGAGAAGGGAAACTGGGACACCTGACTGGCTAAACCAAGATGTCGGCCTCAAACAACGCGGCTCTCCTTCAGAAGTGCAAGTCGGAGAATTCGATGGTGATTGCCTGGCTTGTCAATTCCATGAAACCTGCTATCGGTAAAACATACCTATTTCTCCCAACTACAAGAGACATTTAGGATGTGGTCAAAGAAATGTATTCAAACTCGGAGAACTTCTCGAAAATTTTTGAAATCAAGTAGAAGTTATGGCAAACAAAGCAAGGGGATCGTGAAGTGACGAATTACTACCTTGAGATGATCGAACTATGGCAAGAACTGGACCTAAGTTCGGTAGATAAATGGAAGTATTCGGAGGACAGCGTATGTTACACGAAGAAATTGGAAATCGAAAGGATGTTTGAATTCCTCATAGGTCTCCATCGCAACCTTGACAAGGTTTGTGGCAGGATACTTAGGCAGTGTCCTCTTCTCTCTACCGTGGGAAGTATTTGCAGAAGTGAGATAGGAATAAGATTGAAGGAAAATCATGTTGGGTGACTCTGGTGTGTATGGGTGCCCAACAATGGAAGCGTCTAGACTGATCTCTAACAAATACAAGCTGTCTAACTATGGACTAAGGTCTAAACAATATGGAGTTCCTAATATTGGGCCAGCCAATGGAAGTAATGGGCCAGTAAATGAAAATAATGGGCCAAATAAGTTTAATAACGAAGTGGGCTTAAATAATGGCACAAATGATTCGGGTAATGGGCTTTGGATAACGTGCCTATATTCTAAAGGAGCTTCAGCCAGGCTGGGTTCAAAACAACAATGAAGTAGATTGTGGCATGAGCATTGTCGAAAACCAGGACATAAAGAAGATACATGTTGGGATCTACATGGGAAACCAAGTAATTGGAAGCCAAGACAAAATAATAAAAATCGTGGTTACCAGGCGTCTGTTTATTACCAAACGGGAAAATCTGAGTCTAGTGATGCATTCAATCCCGAACAAATGGAGCAACTTTACAAAATGTTTTCTAGCCTCCAATCGTTAAGTTAAACATCCATAAAAAATCCCTCTAACTCGCTGGCGCACAAAGGTAATTTTTTAAGAGCTTTACAATCCATCTCTCAATCTAAAATCCCTTGGATCATTGACTCAGGAGCATCTGATCACATGACGGACTCTTACCATCTGTTCTCAACATATTCCACCTATGTCGGGAATCTGAAAGTTAAAATTGCAGATGGATCACTGTAATCGATTGCAGGAAAAGGGAGTATCAAAATTTCTGATTCCATAACTTTAGAATCTTTCCTTCATGTTCCAAAATTGTCGTGTAATTTATTCTCTGTAAGCCAATTAGCGAAAAATTCAAATTGTTCTGCTAAAACTTTTTTTCCATCCTATTGTGTTTTTCAGGAACTACATCTAGGAAGACGATTGATAGTGTTAAGGAAAGTGAAGGACTCTACTATTTTGACGAGACTGATGTAAGTAAACAGCGTCAAGTTACAATTTGTGATTCTGCATCTGTTCCTAGAAATAGTGATATTTTGTTATGGCATTTTAGAATGGGTCATCCAAACTTTCAGTACCTAAAACGTGTATTTCCTTCAATTTTTATGAATAAAAATTTCGTTCGTATTCAATGTGAAATATGTGAGTTTGCAAATCACCAACGTACATCGTTCCCAACATCTACATATAAACCTTCCAAACCATTCTCTATGATACATATCGACTTATGGGGCCCCTCACGAATTCCCAATTGGACTCATGCAAAATGGTTTGTGACGTTCATTGACAACCACATTTGAGTTTGCTGGGTGTACCTCCTAAAAGATAAATTAGATGTTCGATTTGTATCCATCAATTTTTACCCAATGATTCAAACACAATTCAAACCCAAATTCAAATTTTAAGCATGGATAATGGAACAGAATACTTCAATAGTACCATGGGGGATTTTCTTCGAACTCGTGGAATACTCCATCAAGTTCTTGCGTTGATTCTCCTCACAAAATGGGATTGCTGAACGTAAGGAAAGACACCTTCTATAAGTGGTTCATGCTTTGTTATTTACGACGAATATGCCTAAAATGTTTTGGGGGGATGCAATCCTAACCTCCACCTACTTGATCAACAGAATGTCCAGTCGTGTCTTAAACTTCGAATCTCCACTCTAAAAACTTCAAAAATTCTTTCCTACCTCTCGCCTCAACTCCAACTTATCATTATAAGTGTTTGGCTGTACTGCCTTTGTTCATATTCATTCTCATCGTCGAGGTAAACTTGATCCCCGAGCTGTTAAATGTGTTCTAATAGGATACTCTCCTACTCAAAAGGGTTATAAATGCTTTGACCCATCAACAAAAAGAACGTTTGTAAGTTCAGATGTCACTTTCTTTGAAAATACACCATATTTCCAAAAAACCTCTATTCAAGGGGAGACACTACATGAAGATCGGTTCCTAGATTTCGATCTCAATCTCAACCTCAATTCTCTTGAGTCTACACCCACCAATAATTCCACACTACCATCCAGTATGCCATTAACAGAAGAAAACTTACAACCAGGGGGAGATGTAGAAAAAAAAAAGTAATGAAGAGATACTAGGTTACTCATGGAAGCGAAAATCAAAGTACAAGGAAACCATCACATCCGAGGCACCAAAAGAGTCAGAACCGATGATGGCTCCTCATGAAGCCTCAAATATTCTCGACTTACCCATTGCTCTCAGAAAACCAACTAGGTCATGTACTCTCCATCATATTTCAAAATTCAGTCCTATAGTGCTCTATCTACAGAATTTCGTACGTTTACATCTCATCTTGACAGCACTAAGATTTCGAAAAATATCGAAGAAGCCCTGGAAATTCCTAAATGGAGGGAAGCTCTATTGGAAAAAATGATAGCATTGGAAAAAAATGAGACTTGGGGAAATTTTAGACCTATCGAAAGGAAAGAAACTAGTCGGATGTAAATGGGTTTTCAATTTGAAATACAGAGCTGATGAGACAATAGAACGGTACAAAGCTCAGTTAGTTGCAAAAGGATATGCATAAACCTATGGCATCGACTACACTGAAATGTTTGCACCAGTAGCAAAATTGAACACAATTTGGGTTCTTTTATCTTTAGCTGCCAATTTAGACTGGACACTATAACAACTCAACATTAAAAATGCCTTCTTGAATGGAGAATTAGAAGATGAAGATTTTATGACTTTACCACCAGGGTTCAGCAAGGTAAATGATGGAAATAAAGCATGCAAACTCAAGAAATCTCTATATGGGCTCAAACAGTCACCAAGGGCGTGGTTTGACAGATTCCCAAAGGTGCTGAAGAGTCAAGGCTATCAATAAGGACAATCAGATCATACTATATTTCACCGACAATTTAATGATGGGACGAAGACAATCTTAATTGTATATGCTGATGATATCATTCTGACAGGAAACAATGTAGCAGAGGCTGAAAGATTAAAAAAGTGTCTTGCCATAGAATTCGAAGTGAAGGATCTAGGACAAATACGATACTTCTTGGGAATTGAGGTAGCTAGATCAAAAAATGGAATCAGTGTTTCACAACGAAAATATGTTATTGACCTCTTAACCGAAATTGGCATGCTGGGTTGCAAGCCAAGTGGTATGCCTGTTGAAACCAAAAAAGAAACCTAAGGAGGCTGGAATTAAAGTGGAAAGAGATGGATACCAAAGATTAGTTGGGAATTTACTATAGTTGTCACATACTAGACTTGATATCGCATTTACAGTGGGCCATGCAAGTCAACATATGCATTCTCCAAAAGAAAGTCACCTAGAAGCGGTCTACAAGATATTAAGATACCTCAAGGGTTCCCCAGGAAAAGGATTATTTTTCAGAAGAGTGAAAACAAGGAGATTGAAGTGACAGATGCAGATTAGGCAGGTTCAATAGAAGATAGAAGATTAACTATTTGTTACTGTACCTATGTGTGGGGAAATCTAGAAACTTGAAGAAGTAAGAAACAAAATGTTGTTGCTAGAAGCAGTGCTGAGGCCGAGTTTAGAGCCGTGGCATAGGGAACATGTGAAGTGCTGTGGCTGAGAAAACTTCTGGAAGAATTGCATGTCAAAGCAAAGCCTCCTATCAAAATCTATTGTGATAATAAAGCAGAGATCATTATCTCACTTAATCCAATCCAACATGATCGTACCAACCATATAGAAGTTGATAGGAACTCCATAAAAGAAAAGATTGAGGAAGGAACTATTTGCACGACTTATGTCCCTACTCAAGAGCAAGTTGCAAATATCTTTACCAAAGGACTACCTCGACCAAGCTTCAATGATTTCATATGCAAGTTGGATATAATTAACATCTATGATCCAACTTGAGGAGGAGTGTGGAAACTGGATCCTACCAAATAAGGATGGGAGCCAAAATTGATTTGAGAATATTTTACATTCCATAATTATTGTAGTATAGAATATATAATTATTTCCTACTATTTTTAGGAGATTAGAATTTTCCTTAATTACAAATTTCTGTATATTATAAATTGTATTCCTTCATTGTATCAATTATCAGAAATTAATGAAATTAGTTTTCCCACAGTATCTCATTTTTTCATTAATTCAAAATCAATTGTAAGTCAAGTACTTAAAACTCGAATACGGTATACTTGAACAATGTGCAGTGGAGCACGATGAATAATGTATAATGAAATTCATCTTCATATACATTTGAAAATGAAATAGGTTGAAATTAAATACCATATAAAAGGCATATCGTATTTCATAATACTTGATAGTTTAACTTATCGAAATCAATTGTAAATCATATAATTAAAAATCGAATATGGTATATTTGATCAGTTTGTAGTGGAGCACAATGATGAAGTTCAACTTCCTATATGTTTTTCAACGAAATAGGTTGAAATGAAGCATACCTTATAAGGGTAGAAGTTTGATTGACAATTATGTGTTTTAGAGCACAACGAATTGTATATAAAGAAGTTCGTCTCCCTATATGTTTTCAAATGAATTTGATTGAAACCAAAGATGGTCTAAAAGGTTAAAAGTTTGATTGACATGTTCATTGTACATGATGGTTTAACATATCTGAATTAATTGTAACTCGTATATTTTAGAAATTAAATATGGTATACTTTAAACAATGTGTAGTGGAATACAATGAATTGTTTACAGTGAAATTTGTCGTCATATACGTTTTTAAATGAAATATATTGAGTGTTGAAGAAATAGATACAAAATATAATTACAAATTCATAGAAAAACGACTGCAAGTCTTTCAAATCTTCATGCATGCTCTTCATCTACACTCCAGACCCACCTAGATCGCTGTCATGTTATGATCTATTGCAACATATTGGATTACTCAACTTCTATCAACTCTCGAACTTGACATTAGGCTTGAATGTATAATAATCATTTTTCACAAATAAACCCAAGTTATATTACTTGGAAGATCCATTGTGATATCATTGTTAATTCAACAATAATTTGAGAGAATATGATGAAGTGATGAAATTTGAAACTATGGTCGAGTTGAATGACCTAATAGAAACAAAAATGAAATTTAGCCCTTGTTTGAGCCTCATTCTTTAGAAAAAAAATCATTTTTAAATAATATTTTGACATCATTTTAACAACATATTCTTCAATAAAATAACATTATACGTAAATCCAAAACTTTCCCTTATTCTTTAACTACACATTTTTCATCAACACACTGTTCAAAAATGAATTTTTTTCTCCCAAAATGGGGCTCAAACAAGGGTTTAGTGACCTAAATGAGTTAAATTATTGCTTACTGATCCAATTACTCTTTCATTGAAAGTTCAGTGACCCCGAATGAAATTTACCGAAGTTAGTAATGGATAATATGAACATCAAAAAGATATAAAAGTGATGAAAGCTCTAACATTCTATTGCAAAAAGCCTGCGATAGTAATGGGATTGGAGACATTACTTTTCTATTATGTTAGACCGGTATTAGACTTTAGTTGGTGATTTTGTCTTAAACGACTCATTTTTCTGAGACGAATTATTTGTACCAGTCCTACACTTTGTCTCTCATAAATCCTACTAGAAAGAGTTCTTGTTTATATAATCTTCATTCACTTCTTGAGGTCGGGAGGGGGTGGCACAGTTGGGGTTGAGATTGAAGGTCAAAAATTCAGTATCCTGTCATTTTACTTCCTTTTGTAAACAAACAGTGATAAGTATCCCTCACGACCCCAGCATTTTTTACAGTTCTCCACCAACCCCATAACTATACAATAAGTCAGGCGACGTTACATCTCAGCACATTTTCTTGGAGCAAATCCTAGTCTCGACTGTTTTATGTCGTACAATATGTGGAAATTCTGCTGTTGGTAGTTGCCAATGATGGATAGAGATGAGCGAGGAGTCCCCAAAATTGCCAAACAAACAACCTCCTCCGGCTCAAGCTTGATGAAATAGTTCTCATATGGGAAATTCCATACTGCTCCATCACTAAACAGAATCCCGAGTGAGGGCATATCCAATTTCGAAACACCAGAAACATTGTAACAAGGATTGAGTATCGGAAAATCCTTTACAACCGGATATCCCTTGATCTTCCTTACAAAAGCCTCTTTAATAATCTTATAAGCCGGATCTGCAAAGTAACTCAATGTAGTCCCAGAATCAATAATGGTACCACCAGCACCTTCTGGTGACAAATCCCACATCTCGGATGGTATATTTAGCACTTCTCCTCCGACCACAATCGACTTTATCCCGACATAGTAGAATGTATCAACCGGATTTTCTTTCCCCGCAACAAAAGAAGTGAAATTCAATTCGGGGTTGCTCAAAAGGTCTTTATCCTCCCCAAAAATCAACTTGCTACTAACACTCACATTACTATTCCGATCCACGAGACAATAAGAGAACGAGTGACCATAAAAAGACTGAAGTTGTGAGGAAAACGAAAGTGCCCCCCTTCCAAGCCCTAACAATCCAGCAGCACCATGAAATAGGCCTCTATTCCAATGACCACATCCAAACATCACATTTTCGACTCTCCTAAACTCCGTGTTTCCATTCTGTGTCGTGAGATTAACCGTGAAAGTTTCGAGTGCAAAATCACCGGTTGTGTTAGAACTATCTCCGTACCAATAATAGTAAGGACAACTCTGATTCTCAGCCTTGCATTGCTGTGGAGGATCAGGAGACGAAACTAGGTGACACCGTGGATCACGACAGCTTATATTTCTAAACGAAATCGAATCATTGGGGTCATAATAAGGGCCAGTTTGTTCGAAACAATCATAACAAGGTACACATTGAATCCAATTAAGATCACTGCCAGTATCAAGAATTAAAGAGAAATGTTTAGGAGGTGTACCCACAAAGACATCAATGAAGTACTCTCCTGAACCAAGACTGACCCCTGATTCAAGTGTAGCCATCAGCTGACCGGAGAACCCACTTACCGGCGGGGCTGCAGGCGAAACCGCCGACGGTGTGGAAAAATGTTTACCACCATCTTTCTTTAGTCTTGAAATGGTGTTCTGGTTCTTTTTCTCCATAATTCTCTTGTGCAATGTCTGAATTCGAGTCAAATCCTTTGCTGTAGACTCCGTTAAACAATCTTTGGCATTAAATTCTTGCCCATCTGATCTGTGCTTCAGATGAAGCTTTACTGCCTGCTTCTGTGGGTCGGCCGGCGCCGGAAAATCTCTATTATCCCCTTCATTTTCCGGCGTCAAATTCAAGTAGGTAGTTTTTCTCTTCGATTCCGAGAAGCTACAATCTGAATCTACCGAAGAAGAAACAGCATTGAAGCTAGAATGATCAGGAAATTCTATGCCTGAATCATTGAAATTCAAATTCTTAACTGCTCCAGTGGTTAAAAAGCCATAGGAAAACAAGCAAAAGAATCCCAAAACAAGAAAATTCTTTGACACCATGAATCCTCAACAAGAAATCAAAAAAACCCAGAAAAATAAGAATGAATTTGATGAAGATTTGAATGAAAATGGGAGAGCTTGAGTTATTGGAAAATTGGTTATTGGTAATTGGGTCATTGGCGTGTGTGCAAAAGTGGAGAATTTGAGGAAAGGATTTGGGGATGTTTGAATTGAATTAAGACTTTGAATATCTCAAGTCTATACTTTTTCAGATATCCAATGCTGCGCATGTACGCGGTTTCACATAAGAATATTATATTCAAAACTAAGGACTAAAACAAAATTCTCTTTTAATAAGATTGCTTTTTAAAAAGTAATTACTTTATAGTATCGAAAAATTGCTGTGAGAAACCCGTTTCTTCATGAAATCGAGGAGATTTACAGGCCGGCTCCTTTTATTTGCTTGTCTTTTTGTCTAAAATTCACTCTTTCACACATATGGAACAAATTTACAGTCTCTCGTAAAATATTTTACTCCCTGCAGACTTCACCTACTTGAATTTCACCATTACTCTCGTTAAAGAGCTAAGGAATGAGAAAAGGAGGTGGAATTAAAAAAATAATTATATGAAATGTCACAAGTTAAAAATATAATTTTTTTTTTTATATTTTTCTAATATTTAGTCCCTATGATATATAATGACTTATAAATGTAATTCATATATGTTTGGCAACAAGACAAATTGAATTGGGAAAAGAATAATTTTAGTGGTCCATAATTTCTTGTACATAAGGGTGTCCACTCTCTCACATAAGTGGATCCCGCTCGAATAAATACTAGCATGATTGTTTAGAAAATTAAGAAATTTATTATGCTTTCAACAAGACAAATGACATAATTTAGGACAAAAAAGAAAAACAAACATATATTTATGAGATAGGAGGAGTAAAATTCTTATCCCATCTATCTATATCGTTTGGCTAGAAGAGTCACCAAGCATGTGTGGAGACATTTCTTGAATGAAGTCATTGATTTACGTTAAACAATAAATAAAATAAGTGCATATTTATTTTAAGCTCTATTTAGATTTTTTAAAAATAGATTTTGTAATAGCGATTTATTATTATTACTATTATTATGAAAAAAAGTATGAAAAAGTGTAAGTTTAAGTGTGAAATTATTTTATTAAAAAATATGTGATTAAAAATGAATTTGAGAAAAAAAAGAATTTTTAGATAATGCGACTCAAATAATAGCTTAATTTTAATTAATTAAAAAAAAAAAGAAAAAGAAAAAAGGATCGAATTGGTTGAATAGTTACAAATACTCTGTTCTACTCAACAACATAATTGAATTGGTTGAATACGTGTATCCGAAATACTCGACAACTTGACCATAGCTTTTTAAGGATTTTTTTAAAATAATTAATTTCAACTATATTTATTAGAATATATAATAAATGGAGAATCAACAAATCACAACATTTTTTATTCAAGTTTCGTACAAAATTACTCAAAATATTTTATTTTGTCACTCAACCTTGTCGTGCTTTTAATTCAATAACGTGGGCAATTTTTTATTCTCAATTTCTTTACTAGAATCTATTGATTTTCTTCTTGTTCCCACCAATTAAGATTACAAGCTACAACTATGCAATTTCATCTAATTTATTTAATATTACTTATTAAAACTTTAGGTCTAATTTATTGGACTTATAAAGTTTATTTTTAAAGAGCATTTTGAATAATTGATTACATCTTTATATTTAAAGAGTAATTTTAATAATGTTCTCTATTTTAATTCTTTATTTAACTTTTTTTCAAAAAAAAAAAAATTCATTAATTTCTCCTCATCCAAATCGAGAGTATTTTTTATTTGAAAAGTTTCTTGAAAATATTCTAATATGTTTAAAATTCTGAATTTAAAGAGTATATACCATATTAAGAATGGAAAAACGTGCAGAAGTCTTATCATATTTACTGCAACTTATCAATTATTACTTTGAATTTCACATATTATTCTATTTAATTTTGGTTGAAATCTATTTAATTTTGGTTGAAATCTAATATTTTTTATTAAAACTTATCAACTATTGCTTTAAATTTCGCATATGATTATGTTTAATTTTGTTCGTTGTCCTAAATTTGTTGGTCGAAGAATCTACTTGTCAAATACAACCATTGACCAAATATCAAATACGGAACCCATTTAAGCAATGCTTGTAACCACAAATTGTTGAAATTTTGTAGATTAGCAGTCTCAAAAGTCTTTTATACTTCACATTTTCTCCTTAAAGATATGATGCAAATGGACCAATTGTATTGTGCAACATATATAATATAGTAAATTTCATATGCGGTTATTGAACTTTAACTGAAATTTCAATTTGGTTATTAAACTTTAATTTGTCAAAATTGAACTACTGAACTTTAATTTAAATTTACATTTTTTCGCCTATAGTTCTCAAAATTGACAAAAATGCCTAGTCGATCCATATAATTGCTATGTGATGCCTTAGAAAAGAGAAGACTAAAACGAGGGTTGTGATAATGATGTGCTATAGTAGTAAATTGACATTGTCGTGATGTGATTACGTGAATGTACATCACTACCAGTTAAGTAATTTTCTTCAAGTTGGAATATGATAGATATGAAATAGCAAAATTTGAAACTAACTTAAATGTTAAATGATTCAATTTTAAATTAAACTGAAGTTTAGTGACCCAAATGAGATGCGATAAAGTTTAATGACCCAATTGAAATTTCACTAAAAGTTACTAATCATAGATAAAATTTGCCCTCAAAATATATGATAGTCAAACATAAAAAATTGTAAAAAAAATAAGAGAGGACTGGACTGTGGTGGTGGACGTAGACGTAGAGGGCCAATGTGGTTAGTTAGAAAGAAGTCACATTAGAAGTTGACAGAGACATTATTTAATGAAGGATTCAACTAAATCCAATTAAGCCATGTTTGTAGTGGTTGGGAGCCAATGTGGGCTTTGTCAAAGTCTATTTTTGGGTCAAAGAAATGATGTTTAATAGTTTCATTGACGTCTTCCTAAGATGTCTAATGGGAAACCAAATTAACTTCAAACAAGGATTGGGGGTGTCGAGCATTAAATAAATTTTGACATATGAAAAACGTTACAAAACTCTAGGTCGAACTCATGGTATAAAAGTTGATCCCGATAAATATAAGTTATCAGATCATTGGTTCATCTTTTGAGGTGACGATTTAATCACTTGATTGATTACAATTTTATGTATCCATACTCATTTTGAACATACAATTAACAATAACAATTTTTGATAAATAATGAATATCACGAACTTTTAATAACTAAAAATCACTAAAATTCAAAATCAAATGAAATGCCATATCATCACTCAAAACAATATGCAATTTTTGCCATAATTAACTCAATTACTATGCTAGAGGCCAACAATTTATTTATTTATATATATTTTTTAAATTTGTACGTAATCTTGAGCAAGATATAAACAGTTTAAAAATCAGACTTTTTATATAATGAAAAAAATAAATATTATCATTACTAATAAACATTTGAACATTTTTGGAACAAATTTTTTTTTTTTTTTGGACAATTGGACGACAACCCTTGCTTATTGAACAAAAAAAAAAATCCAAAAATAAGTAACTTAAAAGCTTTACGATATGAGAAGGTCAAGATGAAATAACTTTAAAAGTTTAGCAAAACATTTTGACCTCATTTTCGGTTGGGGTCACGAGGACAACAGATATCAGACCCACCCGCGCACACGTAAGTCGAGTCCTATACACTAAGACAAAACAATATAGAATGGTTTGAGAAAAGGCGTGGAAGCAACTCAAAGGCGTATGACGACAATGATCAAAATCGAACAATACATTCGAAGAACGATTGTACAATAATTACAATCATAAAGGATCAATATTTTGTAAACTTCTTTGTATTTGTAAGAGAGTAAAATGGAGCAAATTGCTTTTTATTCACTCTAATATTGAGTTTTGTATGTAAATTTGCATGGTCTTACAATGGTGTTAAAGGTGAGTATTTATAGTAGTATAAAAAAGGTAAATTGTGACCCTCAAATGGGAGTACATGTGGTCCCATCCCCCTAATTCTTGCATTTAATCCTAGGTCTCACTTTTGACTTGTTAGTCGACTTTATATTTATTGAATGGCAGAGCCGTCACTTTGTATGATAAAGCTTGACACTTACACTTTATGATAGACGTTACTTAATCATTCAAATAAGAAACTTGTGAAGGAATGGATCTCTTAGAAGAAGTGACAATGAAGGTGTTTCGGAAGTAATTGCCTTGGTTCATGGGACTCCGAGTGAACCATCTTCGCAACGTGCTTCAGACGTCAAGGTGCCGAGCCTCCATTAAGATGTTAATTCTAGTTGCATTCCAAAGGCCCCAAGGCCTAAGGGTCTCAGCCAACAAACCATGATTGCCGGCTTGAGTGGGCCAAGGGCTACAGTGGATTGGCCACGTGGAGCCATGTGTGACAAGATGTAACAAAACATATTTGTTCTCACAAGTTTATTTAATCATAGCTTTCGGTGTAAACTGCATTGTATCTTTTCTTTAGCTCATCCTATGTCAAGTGATGTTAACTTAGCCTATTTGAATTAATAATTTTCTATTAAATTATAATTACAAATTCTCCCAATTGCCTCCTCCTCCTCCCTTTTTTTTTTTTTAACATGCGGCCATATATGAACTATATTTAGCAAGTCTCACAAGTTTTCCTATTCAAGTCCATGGCATGACGTGTCCGGACTGCAGTGAACTTGTAAAGTACCGTTGGGTTGTGAGCCAATTTTAGTCTATTTTGTTATGATAAAACAGTAATCTGTCCTAAATAAATTGTATTTTATTTATTCATTACATTTATTTATTATTGAGGTTGCGAATTGCAGTGCTTATGATTACTTGTAATAATATAAGTTGGGTATTTACATTAATAAATATAGTGCGATGCAACTTATACTTTGATTATAAATAATTTGTTTACAACCAATATATAAGAGTTGGTATCTTGTACAAGAATGTTATAATATTGACCGATTTACTATTTAGGTTTGTATTTGTCACTGTCATATAATAGTTAAATGTGACACTAGTATACTTTGAGCATATTGAACGAACTACGTGTTGAGTTTAATTTTATAGCATGATCGTGCAAAGAATTTAATTCCACTTGACAGTTATGTATTTCTTCTAAGCCCTTGTTTCAACCCCATTTTGGAGGGGAAAATG